CGGTGTGCTCCCGGCACTTGCCTGAGGGGCTTGCGTGTTGGTGACCAGCTTGCCTGAGGGGCTTGCGTGACGAGAAATATATATGTGTGGAGGACACCTGTCGGAATATATAATCAACCATTTGTGCACATACACAGTATAGGAAGATATGATTCCTCGGGGTAACTTGCCATCGGGGGAAGAAGTGGCAAGCAAAGCACCGAGGAGATTTGTCTCGTCCGAAGTCCATGGCTGCTTGCCGAGGGAAGAGATGGGGGAGCCTCCGGCTCGCCTCTCTCGACCCTCTGGTCACTCTTTTTCTACCACTCTCCTCGTTACATCTCACGAAAGGAAATAGCCACCCTTGGCAGTGGGAGAATACTGCAAGAGCACCGGCCTCTGTCTCTGACAGGGACTAGTTCCCTCATTGGCGTCGACGAAGAGAAAAAGATGAGATTATTGAACAGAGACCCAGTCTTTGGGGGTCTGCTGTTACCATTGTAGCGAAAGCTGATGGCACTCCTCGATTCTGCGTTGACTATCGTTCTACAAATACCAAGAGTCTAATTCGAAAATCCTGGTCGATGCCAGATATCGAATCCCATATTGATACCGTTGGAGGTGCAAATTTTATTACAGTCTGCGATATTCAGTCAACCTACCACCAAACTGAAGTGGACGAAGCAGAACAAGAGAAGACAGCGTTTGTGACCCACAAGGGGAAATCGGTATTCAAACGCCTTCCCTTCGGAATTGCAAATGCTTCTTGTCTATTTGCCCGTATGATGTCTCGGGCATTTGCTCACTTTGGACCACGCAGTGGACTTTTGGTGTAAATGAACATTATTTGCTGCAGCTCAAATTGGGACAACCATCTAACCTTGTTAGAAAACATGCTCCAAGCACTCCAAGCGGCCGGTCTTATCTTGAAACCCTCGAGAGTACAATTTGGACCAAAGGAAGTCAAATACTTAGGTCACATTCTGTCTGCTAAAGGGATTCGCATTGGGGAAGATCGTATTAAAGCTATATTAGCTTTAATTTATTATCGACTTGCCACCACCGAAAACAATCAAGGAACTTCGTTCAGTATTGGGCACGGTGAATTATGTGAGGAAATTTATACCCGACCTTTCTACGGTGGTGGTGATAGCACCGCTGGTCGAGCTCACACAAAAAGAGCATGTAAAATCGATCGCAAAACGTTGGAGCCAGGAACATGATGAGGCTTTTGCAGAAGTAAAGCGTTTACTCAGCAAAGCCCCCGTTTTAAGTTTCCTTGACTTTACAAAGATTTCGTGGTACATGTTGATGCCAGTGAAGTTGGTGCCGGAGCATTCCTGGGCCAAAAGAACGGCGACGACATGATGAATATTATTGCTTATTTTAGCCAGCGATTTAACAAAGCTCAACGTCACTATTCCCCGACGATGAAAGAATGTTACGGTGTAGCGTTAGCTTTACAACACTGGAGACCCTACCTATGGGGCAGGCATTTCGAAGTTGTCACGGATCATGCGGCGTTGAGATATTTGTATACGATGCAGGACACGTCGAAGATGCTGACCCGATGGGCGATTGCTTTGCAGTCTTTCGACTTGTTGACCGTGCGACACAAGCCGGGAAAGTTACATGTAGTCCCGGGCACCCTGTCTAGGTTGTTTGCGTTCAGTCACCAACAGCAGTTGGAAACGCCGCAACTTGCACCAATATGTAGGAATGTTCCTGAGGACCCTGCAATGCATTCGAGTGCACCACGACGTCCTTACCATGTGTCTGCAGATCGTCTGGATAATTTGCAACCTGTTCAAAGTGACTGCGAATTATTCGCTGAGAAATCGGTGTATATTAGCGCGACCAATGTGTTTGAGACAATTAACCGCGATGTCTTGCGTGAGAAACAAGCTCTTGAATATGGCACATATGTCGACTACCTTACAAAACAAGACGCCCGTCTACCTGATAACGAAACAACAACTTCCATGTCGTACTACTCTATACGCGATGGGGTTGCTGTTCAAATCGTATTTACCGGGCCACCTCCGTAAGAGCAGTACGTTTAGTGACCAATTAGTGTTACCACCAGCCCTGACAGGACTCGTGTTACACGCCTATCACGACCACGTATTGTCTGGAGGCCACTTAGCGTCTAGACCGACTTATGAGAAGATCCGCCAAAATACTGGTGACCAACCATGAATCGGGACGTTCGTACTTGGTGTCAAGAATGCCAAGCCTGTCAACGTCGTAAAACGGCCCACAACCGAAAAAAATTACCAACGGGACATGTACCTGTACAAAGACCGTTCGAACGTATTTCGGTTGATCTAGTCGAATATAAAGTGGAATCAGTGTCAGCCGCCGGGGTACGGTGCAACTAAACTATGTCCTATCCATGATGGACCACCTAACCCGATTCACCGTGTTGACTCCACTTCCCAATAAGTCAGCAGTCACTGTCGCGTAGGCCACTATCGACCGCATCATTGGCATCTATCTTTGGATCGCCTGAAATTTACATTCCGGCCAAGGTCCTGAGTTTGAAAACAGTGTAGTCCAGCAGCAGCAGCTACAGCGGATTCTGAACTATAAATAGACCCGCACGACCCCATATCGTCCTCAGGGTAATTCCGTTTCAGAACGAGTACATGCAAACATGCATGCAATGCTTGCAATGCATAGTTCCATGAACCGCGGCGCGATAACTGGGCATCACTGCTGCCTTTTCTTCAACTGGCCTACAACACATCTTTTAGCTCCGCCATGCACGGAACGCCGTTTTTTCTTATGTTTGGTCGGAAGCCACGTCTCAGTTGACAATATTCTCGGTATTCCTCATGAAGGAACAACAGCAAACCCAAGAATTTTCTGGAACGACACAGGAAAATCTACAGTTTGCGTTTGAACTAGCGCGCCGTAACTTGTCGGAACGCTCACAAAAACAAGCTGCCAAAAATGCTAAACTACATCCTATCCCTGTGTTTAAACCTGGCGATTTAGTACTTGTGTACCGACCCTACCAGGATTCGGATGGACCAAATCCGAAGCTGTTTTTACCGTGGCGTGGGCCTTATACGTCGTCTGCTCCCAATTATCACCTGTGGTATATAGAGTGAGACGCCAGAATGAAACTCGTGAAAAGTTTCGGTCCATTTAGCCCATATTAAACGGTATTATGCGAGGAAAACGCCACCCGCGCCAGACTTTGATACCATTTTCTGAGTTTTTCTTAGGACGCCAGATTCCGTTGCCCGAGCTGGACCATCCCGATGAAGCTCAACCGAAAATTGAGTCCTACATCGTTGACAAAGTGGTAAGCCATAAACGTGGTAGGGGGCCGAAAACCCCGTACAACTACAAGTATCGTTTGCGTCTTCGTGGATACGGTCCTGAGTCGGATCTCATGTACAGAGCAGACGAAATCCCGCAATGTCAAGAAATGATAGCTGCCTACCGAATCCGTTGTGGTTTGGACACCGCGCCGCCTGATAAATCTGCGTCTCGTGCCCCAGTTAAACAGGGAGATCCAATATCACTCAGTGAAACCAGGAAACGAAAACGGAGACAGGCAATTAATTCTGAAGAAGCTTCACCTCGAAAATTGGTTGTGCAAAGTGACTCTGAGCCACCCAGCAAAAAAAACAACAAACCACGGAGAAGTGTCCAAGGGGACTGTCATTTACCCCAGTCGCGTTCGGCCACGACCCTAGGTGATATTACATTGCCCCGTCGTACTAGCAAACGAAAACGAACCAGGGCCCGAAAATTGAATGATTGATGCACTTCTTCGGTCATTTCTAACAGCTAGCTTTTCTACTTTTAGACTTGGGATACTTTTGTACTACTATTATCCTGTGTCCATCACTAACACAGGACCGGTAGCCACGGTGGTAGGTTGTGTCCATTGGAAACAACCTATTCTATCAGTGTTTGGGGAAACACTGGCGAGGAGGATAATTTTTTTTAGCCACCGTTATCCCAAGCTCTTATTTATGATGCGTAGACAGACTTGCCAGAGGTTCACCTCATTGCAAGTCTACCCCACACCAACCCCACACATGTGTAACAGGTTAAATTTAGGGTCAATCACGGGTACTCCATGGACACACCTAAGTTAACGCCGGCGAGGGTTCATTGGGGAAAGTAAAGCTCATTTCACAGGGTAGAGTTTTAGGAAGATCAACACACCCATAGATCTTGTCACATGAACTCCGCACATGCTTCACACGTTCACATACCGTTGTTTGACGTCCTCAAGGACTAGCGTTGGACTCACAGTGTCAGTTCGTTTGGCACAAATGGCAGTTAGCTTCAGGCTCAGTTTCTTCGCTTCGTTGGCGGAATTGAGTAAATTCCTGGTTTGGTTGCCAAAGGGTCCCAAGAAATGGGATCCTCGACATGTTTCGGGGTACCAAGGGGTTACGTGACCCACTCCTTGGATTTCCCTAGCCCTCATCAATCAACACACGAACGACCTCACGATCGAACGATAGCCAATTGAATCATCGTATTTCTGAGACGCTGAAGCCGCCGTGACACCCCCCCAGCATCTCTGTGTTGAAAACACAAGATGCTCCGGAGGCGGCGGAGCGCTCGTCCCTTCCTCCCTAGGTTAGACCACACAGGGAATTTAAACCTAGTGGAGGGATGATGCCGGTCTTGAGTCGACGTAGATGTTGCATCTCGAGACGCCGTCGATCTTGAGTGTTGAGGTCGGTCTTGGTTCTTCAACCACGAACACTCGTTCCTCCCTCCCTAGGTTAGACCACGGAGGGGATTTAAACCTAGTGAAGGGGAGATGCCGGTCTTGAAGTAGACGTCGATCGCAAGCAAAGAAGATGACGATCTTGCGCACAGAGGACGTTGATCTTGATTCTTCCGCCCTCTTTCGACCATGTCCTTGAAAGATGATGAAGACGGCTCCAGCAATAGGAAGCCCACCAAAAATCTCCATCAACAACACTGCCACAACACCCCCCCCAGCTTGAAGCGCGGGGTGCAAAAAGCGAATGGCAGTGTAATTAGGCCTCTTGTGAAGCCGGCGGAATCTGCGATGCCAAAGCAATGCCATGGCGTAGTTCTCTCCGGGTAAACTCCTCCCAGTCTCCATCACTGAACTCCACCCTCCAGTAAGGATCGTAGAAGTCGCAGACTTTTCCGCGGCTCAGGATGATGTTGTCGTCCTTGTCTCGGAGCTCCTTGGCTACCTCTGTGTTCAATGGAAACTCCTGTAAGGCGGCCTCCCTGGTGGCCACCTCACGCTCTCCTCGAGTCGGTGCTCCCGGTGGTCGCGGAGCGACGTCGCTCCCGTGGTAATCTTCCCACAGAGCGTGGAAGACGTCGAGTTGCAGCGGAGAGAAGCTGTCCTTCACAGTGTCCTCGGTGAGCCAAGACGACGTAGTGCCATCCTGATATTTTCCTCGGTATTCCCACGCCCACGCAGTAGACGCTCCTCCAGCTCCCTGCGTGGTTCTCCGGTCGACCAGCGTGTAGAGAGGGGCCGCGACGACGGAGTCCTCCACGAGTCCCAAGTCTGGTCCCCACACGAAGTGTGAGAACTCGTCCTCGAACGGCAGTCGTAGGTCCAGGGGCCGCGAGTAGAACTGCTTCATGTCGGAAGCTACCACCGTCCTCTGTCGTACTTGGCGACCGTGAAGTCGAACGGTGAAGCTCAGGCCCATCCTGACGACGTTGACCACCACCCAGGGTCCCGTGAAGTGGTCGTGGGCGAGTTTGGGGTGTACCCCATCGCGGTGGAGAGTGCTGGCACTTTCTCTCACTAGGACCTTGTCTCCCACCCGCGATTTCGCTCCCGGGGATGCCCTCGAGATTCGCGCGTTCTGAAGGTCGCGGTGCCGGTTCTTCTCAGCTTGTCGCTTCCGTAGAGCGTCGGTCACTTCGATGTGCTTCCGGCGAGTCTCCTCCACTGACGACTCTAGGCCAAGCGCAGATCCCGAGTTGTCCAAAGATGGTGAGAGCTGGTCGAGTGGTGTCCGCGGAGCTCGGCCAAACAGCATCTGGTACGGTGAGACGTTGCCGGGAAGACTCTCATCCGGCTGCATCCTGTGCGCCCAGGTAGCGATGGCGACGTACTCGTCCCACCGCTGCGGCCACGCCTGGCAAAGCTCCGAGAGTAGCTGTGCCAGAACTGCTCCCATCCGTTCCACAGTTCCCTGCCCCCTGGGGTGGTTGGCAGGCCCGAAGTCAAGGGACACCTTCAACCAGCGGCATAGGTGTTCCATGATCTCAGATGTGTTCTCTCTCCCCGGGTCGCAGCGGATCGAAAGTGGTAGTCCGAAGATGAGAATCAACTCCAGAAGCTTGCGGCTAACTCCCACGGTCTCCTTGGTCGGTAGCGGGAACCCGAAAAGGAACTTGGTCGCTCGGTCCACCACCACCAGTAAGTACCTGTTGCCCAGGGCAGTCACTGTCTTCGTGTCCAGGATGTCCAGCTCCAGGACTTGCCACGGCAGCAGGAAGCGGGCTGGCAGCATGCGTAGCTGTCTGCTCCACTGCCTCTTTTTCATGCGGCACCGGCACGATTCAACGTAGCGCCGTACGTCTTTCTTGAGAGAGGGCCAGTGATACTTGCCGGCGATGATGATAGTGGTACGCGCCCGTCCTGGATGCGCAAAAGTCCCGTGCGCCAGAGCCAACACTCCAGGAATCAGTCTCCTCGGCAGCGCGATCGCGTGTAGTTTGCCGCGGGGCGCGTGGAAGAGTAGACTCTGGTCATCCAGGATGTAGTCGCTTGTTTCGCTTTTTCCGTTCTCCAGATCTTTCCGGATAGGACCAAGCATGAAGTCCTTCTGCTGCTCGTCCGCTAGTTGCACAGGATCGCGAAGAATTCTCTCCATCTTTTCCAGTTGCTCTGAGTGACCTCGAAACGTCGGCACACTCACCTTCCTTGCCCCGCCATCAACAGCCGGAGTGGGTAGTTCCACATCAGGCATACTGGTGTCGGGGTCTGCGTTCACCGGAGATGGAGGAGATGATGGTACCGGCTCGATAGGAGGCGAAGGGTCCTGCGGCGCGGGAGTCGAAGCTCGCTGTAGGTCCTCTGTCGCACTTGGGGACGGTTGCAGGATCGGAGGCGGTGTGGAAGGCTGTTCCGGTTCCGTTGATGGGGGTGGTGGTTCCGCCTCGGACGATGCCTGTGCTTCTCTAGCCTCTCGCGTTCGTCGCGCAGCTGCTGCGGCTCTGGTTTCTCTGGGGATAACCTTGAAGCGAGATCGGTCAAACGGCCGTTGACGACCTGTAGATGTCTCCCCTACCGGTGCCGTTGCGTCTAGCTGTAGAGCAGCAAGCCCGATGAGAAGTTCGCCTTCCTGTTGTGGCTGTCCCTCCTCTTTTTGTGCTGGCTCGCCAAAAGCCTCCACCATCCTTCGTTCCCTTCCACGAAGTTGGAGCAGGCTTAGCACCTCCCGTAGCATCGGTGGTAGTGTCCACTCATCCAACACCCTGGCCACATCCCGTCTTCGAAGAGTGTTCGGGACGACCAAGTCTTCACGAGTGGTGGTGAGCTTCACGCAGTCGGTCCACGACAGCTCTTGAGCTTCCTCCAACGTCCCACAATCCTTGAGATGTGCTTGGTATTCCTCCACCGGTGGTTTACGAGCCATGATGTGATCCTTGGTAATCGTCACCGTCGGTTCAGCGAAAGAGAAGATCTCCTTGTGCAGGGCTCCCCGTTTGAGGAAAAAGGACCCTGCTCTCCCCAGGTATTCACCCACCGTGGGAATTGATGGGGCTGATCGCTCCACATTCTGCTTCCACCGTTGTAGTTTGGATCCCAGGTTGTCGTCACCGTAGCGCTTGACTGCGACGACGAATACTCGCTGTTTGTTGGTTGGCACACCAACAGAGGTCGCCTTCAAGGTTGCTGTCTCCACTTCACAGCCAGCCATTTGCAGCTGAGGCGCCAAGGTGACTCGCCACACCTCTATCCCCGTGAATCTAGCGGGGGCTTCCATTACCATGATCTGGGCTCTGGAAGAGATGAAGATCTGCATAGACACGCGCGCACCCAGGCTTGGTGTGTCCCTTTCGGTGAAGGATGTTTCCGGTGGATGGGAGCCACGTCCTCGTCGTCTTGAAGGACGATGTCGTTAACGGACTCCCGCCTGTGATGTGGATGTTCTTCTGTGTTCCCCCGAGGAAGTTCCTCGAGGGCGCCCCTTCAGTTGTGGGAAGGGGACGCTTCTTCCGGGCTCCTCTCTTTGGTCGAAGCGTCGGTAGTGTCGAGGGGAGCGAAGTTGCTGGAGGTGGAGAGAAGTGTAGGTTCCCGCTGTTCGAGTTGTTCCACCTGAAGTAGTAGCAGTTCCTTTTCGTGGTGGTTCGGGTTGGTCTGCTGCCCCTTAGAGAACGGGTAGGCTCCCCACGGCACAGGCTGTGGTGCATGTGAGTACGGGCAGCACCCCTGGTTCACCATGTTGGAGCATTGGAGGCCCCGTGCGTGAGAGATACACACGCCCTTGCTGAAGATGTACCGTTTGATTTCTTCCGGCGCGGAGTCGGGCTTCGGGGCGTCCAATGGGAGTTCAGCTTTAGGCATAGCCCTCTTCCGGCCCTGGCTGCGGTTCCCCGTAGATCGTGTTCCTGGGGAGAAAGTTCCCTGCCTCTCGGAGAGCCGCGGGGCATTCGGCCGGTCGTCGATGGAACGTCGCGGTCGAGCTGCCCGTGACGTTTCCTGGTCAGTCCACTGTCGCTTCCTGGTGGATCCATCCGGGTGAGCAAGGGCCATGAGTTGCTCTGTTCCAGACGTGCCCGAAGGGTAGTCGAAGTTGCCGAAGGTGCCCTCGAAGTCGACTCTGCTGGTGTCGATGATGCCACTGTTGTCCTCGAAGGTGCCGTTGTTGTCTTCGAAGGTGTTGTTGTCGTCAGCATCACCGATCGCACAGAGGGGAGCCGCCGGTTTCCGGGAGTCGGCGGAGGTGCGAGTCGGAAGTTGCTGCGCGGCTAGGTGGATGGGCATCTTGTTAGACTTGAGAGTGTTCACTTCAGCCGTCTTTGGTTGTTGGGATGGCTGGAGGTACTTGCCGGCATCCTTGGCCAAGCCCTGGGAAAATTTCTTGAAGATGCTCTTTACCAGGGCTCCTCTTTCGTTCATTTGCTGTAGGCCCACGAGGTGTTTGACGACAGGCATAGCTTCCAGCCGTGGTCCGTGGTACTCTCGCTGGACCTGTAGAAGCGCCTCCTTCGCTGCACGATCCGTAGTAGAAGGGATGCAGAGCTCGATCGTCTTCTCCTGGATGAGCTCGAGCTGATCCGCAGATAGCTGAGACCAGAAGTAGGTCTCCTCGGTTAAGAAGGGCAGTGCCGGGTCGACCGTGGAAGCCCTGTAGATCTGGATCACCCGTTCCGCCACGGCCAGCCAGGATTCCTGGGGCCGGATCTGAATGGAGTTGAATGCGGTGGATGCGGCCACCTTCGTAGCATGTTTCCTCCACTCCTCTTCCAGAAACAGACGAAGGAAGTCCATGACAGTGACGTGGGTCTGCGGGACGCTGCGCTTCCCACCGCGAAGATCATGGATCTTCATGTCTTGGTTGGTGGAAGTGTTGTACTCCGCCACCGTTCCTAGCCCGTTCGGCAGGAGGTCGAGGAGGACCTCCATTCGAGTGGTAGTAAGCCAGTCAGGCCTCGGGTGAACGATGTCGACGCCCGTGTGTGGATGGTACGTCATGTCGTCAGTCGGCAGAGTGAGAATCCCTCCCGATTCCTTGGAGAAGGCGGTGATGACCGAGTCCTGGAAGCAGACGGGGTCGTTCCTGGCTGTAAGGATAGCCGAGGAAGACGGTTGCGCAGGCGGTCCCTCGTACTTCGTCGTTTTCATGTCATCTTGCACTCGCTTTGTGATGTTTCCACAAACCACGCGGCGCTGCTTGGGGTCATTCATGTTGAAGTACCACGCCGAGCGAGGTCCCAGCCAGTTGTTGGGAACGGCTCCCATGGCTCCTCCCCCTTGAGGAAAGGGTGGACCTTGTCCGGGTCCGAAGATGTTGGGGCCCTGCCCTTGGGGAAAGGGCTGCGGACCTCCGCCTGGGAAAGCGGCGTGAGGAAGTTGGTTGGGACCTCCGTAGGGAGGCTGTCCTCCAGCCTGAGGGGTTTGCGCGAAGCCCCCGGGCTGCTGGGGTCCACCGAAGTGGGGAGGGGGCCGGTTGTAACCTCCCTGCTGCGGAGGGCCACCGAAGTGGTGAGGAGGCTGGTTGAAACCTCCAGGCGGGATGGGACCTCCGCCTTGCTGAGGGTGAGGGTTGTAGAATCCTCCCGGCTGCTGAAGTTGCTGAGGCTGGTGCGGAGGCGGTCCCTGCTGAAGCTGCTGAGGAGGCGGTCCGTGGTGAAGCTGCTGATGCTGTTGAGGCTGCTGGTGCTGCTTCGGGATGGGTCCCTGTTGAGGCTGCTGGTGGTGCTGCTGGATGTTCATGTTTCCTGTTTATGGTTTTCGGGCTCACAATTTTTCGGTTAACTTATCCTGTGTGCTAGTGGACTCTGTTGTCCTTCCGACATCTCTCATGTCTTGTCGGTCCTTCCTCTCTCTCTCTCTCTCTTTTTNGGTTTACGGCGGGTACAGAATGTACGTATGGTTACGGTGCAATGACCATTTGTGTATCAAGGAAGGAGGTTGCCACAGGACGCAGTCGGTGGTTCATAAAAAATAAACCGTTGTTGCTCCATTCATTTCCAGCTTTCCTAAGAGATCACATAAAAGCCAGGAAGCACTAAAACACAGGACACATGAATATCCATGAAGAACCCGCGGTCCTCTCAAAGAGACGTAAACGGTGAACACTGCAACTCACGGCCAACAGCATTCAATCCAGAGTGACAGCTCACCCGATAAAAAAAAAAAAAATTAGGCCCGCCAAAAAGAAAGCAAAGACACAAAATGAGGTCTCAGCCTAAAACATATGCAAGGAAGGAAAAAGAAGCGCGTTCTGACACTCTCAAAGCAAAACCAAGCTCGGAAGAGAACAGAACAGGAAACTTCAGCGATAGAGAAAACTTAACCCTTTTAAGGAATTTTATTAATAAACCAGAAGAACATCGGTTTAAAATCCAGTTTAATCCCTCTGGCGGTCGCGTAGACTGCGGTCCCTACTGTTGCGGCGCCGGGCGCGGCTCTGTCTGCCTCCCGGAAAATAGTAACATCGCCTTGAGGGACTAGAGTCACGCGAACGCGGTAGTGGAGGCCTGCTGGTCCGGATTGTCAGGCATACGGACAATCATGAGATCAATAGTATTGTGTTGGTGCGCCATGGTAGATGTATTTATCGGCAGACACCTGAAAAGTATAAATAAAAGAACCAGCAGTGGGAAATAGGTAGGGGCCCTAAGTGGCGATCATCAGCTACGAAGGTAGGAGGTATATATCCGTAGAACGTGTACAGAAGGCATCGTAGTTGATGTACAGCGTGGTGGGTGGAACGGGAAAGACAACGTCGATAGCACTTGAAAAGTGGATAGACCTATACTGAAAACAGTACTAAAAAAAGAACAAACGGTCAAAAAGTAGCATGCAACGCCACACGACGACTGGACCGCGCAAAGTAGAGTACAGCACCAACACAAAGGTGTGCATCTAGTGGTCATCCACTAATCAGATACTTCGTCGTTGACCTTCTCTTCCAGAATTTAAAGGAAAGAGATACCTTCGCACCAACAGCAAAGCGGTGTGTACAAACGAGAGCGCTGCACAACAGCAGTGCCACAGCAGTATATATACCCAAATTTTACGGTTTTTCGCAATTTGAACGCTGGTGTTTGACGCCGTCAAAGCAAGTTGAACAGAACCAACGTACACAACACGAAGGTCTAACGTATTACTCAAAGATATCCAAAGCACACCAAGGGTGCTGACGGCACAGGCACACACAGATGCGTTCAAAAGACGATGTTGCGTGCTTTTCGTAGAACAGAGGTGCTCCGTTTACAGCAGTTTGGTAGAACCTCAAACTAGAGCGACAGGCGTGGGTACACGAAAACACGAGGGTTATGAAGCACGCCAACAGTTAGAACTCTCAGGCTGTTGATAGACCTCAAACGTAAGCCGGTCATACGGGGTTCAATCGACGTGTAGAGGCTGATACCGATGCACTCAAAGTTTAGTCTCGCAGAGACATGCGGCGGGATTGTATGCATACATAGGGCAAAAAATCGATGACGCACAGCAAGCAGTCCATTTCCATCAGAAGAGCAAAGAACAGAATCAAACAAGAAGTCCACTGCTGTTGTCCACAGCAGCACGCAAAGAAAGAGAATCGGACACAGGGTCACAGAGAGGTACATATGCGTAGATAAAGCCAGAGAAGAGGGAACCAGCAGACTCGCTCGTCTCGCACATGGCGGACTTGTAGACAAGAAAAAAAAAACAAATGGCAAAATTCACGTCTTCTCTCGGCATCAGCGGTCACACCTTGCGTCTGGCAGACCACACACTCACATGCGCAGTCAGAGAGAGAGTGCTCGCGTGCATGTACAGCAGTGGCGTGGTTGATAGACAGCTATGCCTGGGTTGCGCGATACTCGTATTGCGAGATTGGCGGCAGGAGCTGTTTTGCCTCACGCGTTGCAC